AATAAATAAATAAAATCTTTAAAAAAAAAAAAAAGAAAGTGTTTCACGGATCAGGAATTGTATTTTGATTTACATTTAAATTGATATAATCCTTCATGTTAATGTAGTTGATCATTCAATAAATGTCTATGGGCACCAGGGTGGCTCAGTCGGTTAAGCGTCTGACTCTTGGTTTCGGCCCAGGTTGCGATCTCATGGGTCCAGGGATCAAGCCCCAGTGGGACTCCCTGCTCAGTGGGGGCCTGCCTGAGATTCTCTCCCTCCGCCCTGCCCCCAGACTCACTCTCATGCTCTCTCTCGCTTTCAAATAAATAAATAAATCTTTAAAAAAATGAATGTCTACCAGGTGCAGATCCGATACTAATTCATTTGGGTTTAAACTTTCACACATATTTCTTTTACATAGGTAAGCTACCCAGGACAGCTTCTGCAGGCCTGGTATCCCTGCATCATGTTTAATGGTTCCTTTTCTCATTTTCACAAGTGTCTGTGTTTGGATGACAAATTATATGGTCACCCAACATATATCTGATATATATAATCTGGATGTCCCCTTGTTTGACAGTTTTCTAAGCTGACCCTGCCCTTTAATATCTAACCAGTTTAGGGGTGCTTGTGGGGCTCAGTGAGTTAAGCGTCTGACTTTGGCTCAGGTCATAATCTCAGGATCCTGGGATGGAGCCCGCTGTCCAGCTCCCGACTCAGTGGGAGTCTGCCTGTTTCCCTCCCCCTCTCTCTCCTCTCCCCTCCCATTCCCCCTGCTTTTGTGCCTATGGGTGCGCCCTCTCTCAAATAAATAAAATATTTTTAAAAATTAAAATAAAATCCAACCAGTTTAGTCTGAGCCCCCATTCTGAGTGGCTGCAGAAAGACCCTGCCTTTTGTTAGACTGTCCCTCTCCTCGGTGTGAAGCCCATGGAGACCGAGGATGTGTTCTTTCTTTCCTCACTGCCTCTTCCTGAGGCCATATTTCTTACTAGCCAAAAACACAAAGTAAAATAAATATCCCTAAGGACAAATGAACAATTTAAAGTAAAATATCACAAGGAAGGGAGAAAATTAAGAAAAATTAAAATGTAGAAATTAAAATATAAGGGTTAAACTACAAACGTAGTGAAAACAAGCTGTCACAAGATCCAACGATCACATCTAATTATAAGATAAAAATTAAAAGCTACCACACGTAAAATAAAATAAAAACACGAACATAGATTTAAAAAATCCTCAACTAAACTGGGAATAAGCAAAAATTCAAAAGGATGAAAAAGCAAGAATATTTTTAATGGAAATATAAAGGCGATGTAAGGGAAACAAGATAGAGGCTGAACACTTGAAGAATGAAGAACTAAAACAGGAATGGGGGAAGTTAGATAAAATGAATGAAATGAGATAACACATGTAAAATGCTTCTCACAGTGAAGTGACATTGCCACAGTGCTCCATAAAACAAAATTTGTCTCTAATAAAGTTGGAAAACAAAAGATGAGGTCGGAAAGAGGGGAGCAGGGAGTAAAGAGCCCCACTGGAAGAAGCCAAGTGTCCCTGGCAAAATGCCCACTGAGACTTCCCAGTACTTGGCTCCCCGAGAGCTGGGGGATAGAAGGCAGAGGCATTACAAGCTCCTTTCCCCTGCCCTTTGTCCCGTGTCCCCTCACACGTCTTTATGGTATCTATGACCCACAGCTGTCTGAAAGAGCCTCACCACAAACAATTTTGGGAGAGTCAGGGTTGGTTAACTTCACACATGCTCAGCCACCAACTGTGTTCTTTGAAATCCAGAAGAATGGCATGCTCAGGTATCTAAAAGTGTCTGGCAAAAGAAAAGGGGGGTGAGGGGCGCCTGGGTGGCTCTGCCTTTGGCTCAGGTCATGATCCCGGAGCCCTGGGATCGAGTCCCACATGGGGCTCCCTGCTCAGCGAGGAGTCTGCTTCTCTCTCTCCCCCTTCACGCCACTCGTGCTCTCTCTGTCAAGTAAATAAATAAAATCTTTAAAAATAAAAATAAAAAAAGTGTCTGGCAAGTATTTGGTAATCCCCAATGTAAGCAAACAGATGGCTTTTCATTCTCACCTTCAGATGAGAAAATATATCCTAGTGCTGATGGTGTTTAGTGATAATATGATCACTAATTTAAATAATGAAAATCTATGCTATATTTCTTCATAATATAACTGAGATAAAGAATGGGTGTTAAAGTAACCTGGATGTTGAAGCATTTAACTGATGTTGAAACAAAGGGGTGTTAGAATAATGTTGTAGTAATCAAAACAGTATGGTACTGGCACAAAAACAGACACACAGATGCATGGTACAGAATAGAGAGCCCAGGGCGCCTGGGTGGCTCAGTTGGTTGAGCGACTGCCTT